GTATACCATTTTGAGGAAATCAGTGTAAAGAAAGAGACTAAGTTCACACAGTTTAAACAGCAGCTTCTCATATTTCTTACAGCATCATTGGATTGTATTATATTCAAGTTGTCCTCCTCATGACCATCCTGCTCTAAAACCAGACCAGCTGATAGTGGACAACAAGCTGGAGCAAACAACAAAGCCTGCTCTGATAGCATTTACAATGACCAAACGACAGGAGACAGCCATCTTCTCATCTCCACAGGCACCTATCTGCTTATCAAACCAGCAGCAAGAGTCTAGTAACAACCTCCTATCTACATCAAAACAACTGTGAACCTCTGTTTGTAACCAAGGTCGTAAAGGCAAGATGTGTCTTGTTCAAAGAAACTTGTGTGTGTCAAACAACACCTCCCTCCTCCTCTCAATGGGCTGCGTCGTAGAGTGGAGTGAGACAGACAGACAGACTTCGTATCTTTAGGAAGTAGCCATTAGGATCAAGACCTTAATGGTGCCTTTTGGCTGTTTTGACTGATAATGGAGTGTGAATGGCTCTGCTTGGGGCCAGCACAAATGCTAATCAGGTGTAAAAACAGGCTGGAGCATGAACATCAGATTTGCATTTGTAAAGTTTTATAGAGCTTTGCAGTAGTTTGAATAGTCGTAATGAATGTTACACTTAGAAGTTCTGCAGTTACAATTAGGGCAGATATATTTTGTGGGACTCACAGTTTGAGAAAATAAGTATAAACTTTGGCCTCATGCTATAAGTGCATTTACTCACTGAAGCTTCATAAAGAATCAGTCAGAAACAAGTTATTTCCCTGTCAAAATAAAGGTATTTAATCTTCAAGGGTGATGTTTGTAATTAATGATTTGGCCTGATATATCTAGATAACTCAATAACACACTTTTCCACGTTATTCACCTGGGAACAATGTGCATTGCTTGTGTGTCATGTGTATGAGTGTAAAGTTAGTATTGTATTTGGACTCTGGACCTCCACGTTGGATGCCGGCAGCGTCACTAGAGGTGGATAACGCTTTGTTTTGGATATTTACAACTATAAGACATTGCACAATTTTTTCCACCCTGGAAGTATTTTTGTTGTTTCCAAAGTAGCATTAAAATAAAATTGAATAAAATGCAGATTCACATGATTTTTAGGGCTTTTAAAAAAATTAAATCTAATGGGATAAATCAATACCTGACTTATCTAGGCCTCTCTCACAGTACCTTGGTCATCCATGTTTTTGAAAACATTTCCCAATTTGAGTATTGAAAACAGGAAGGTGCAGTTTCATTGCAAGCATTGACAAGTATCTGAATAGGAAAATAATTCTGCCTCTGGATAAAGATTGAGACGAAACTGTGACAGGAGCCAGGACATGTTAAGACATGGAATAAATACAAGTTACCTCCTATGAAAAAAGCAGCACATGCCCCACTGTGACCACAGCAGTCCCTGTTTATGTTTATGTAGTAACCATTTGTTTGTTTTAGAGATGTTTTGATAATTCACTGTATGCTCTAAAACAGCGTAAATACAAAATATATATTTAATGGTTTTTTTAGGATTAGATTTATTGTAGATTTACATAATCTGTAATCGACTAGAAATACAAAAGTATTGTTTGCAGATGCAAGTATTTATTTTTGATAACTTAACAGAGATTACAAAAAAGTCACAGTTTCCAACTTCAAATCACAAATATTTACAATTTCGCCAAGTGCAGAGCTTTGCAACTTGTAATAAATATTAGTTTAATTTGGTTTACAGTATATTACATGCTTCCAACAGAGGTCGGCATCCTGATGAACGATGGAGCAGGTGTGGAGGTGGACTTAGTTGCCCTTGATAAAGGACTCGTAGAGGGACGTGAGCTGGGCCTGGAGGTCCTGGGCGTACGGGTCCAACTTTTCCTTCAGGTCCTCAGCATAGGGGGCCACCATCTGTTTCACCAGCTTGGCTCTCTGCATCAGCTCCACCTGGACCTTCTCCGTCACGGGGGCCACGCGCTCCTGGAAGTCCTGCAGGTGCTGGTCCACCTTCAGCTTCAGGTCGTCGGTGTAGGGCCCGAACTGAGCCTGCAGGTCCTTCACACTCTGCTTCAGCTCCTCGCTCTTCTGCTCCAGGGTGGCTCTCAGGGCCTCGGTGTCAAGGGACTCAGCGTAGGGGGCCAGCTCCTGTTTGAGCTGCTCCACTCTCTGCTGGATCTGGACCTTCATGTCGTCGGTGTAGGGCTCCAGCTTGCCCCTGACAGTGCTCAGCTCCTTGGTCAGAACATTTCTCAGCACATCAGCCTCTGCAGTGATCTTGGTCATCAGGTCTTGGGCGGCAGGGGGGAGCTGCTCCTGCAGGGAGACGGCATACTGGCTGGCAATGTCAGTGCTGTCGGCCAGGCGGGCACTGGAAGACACGCAGGGTGAAGGTTAGACAATCAGACGTTTTTGTGTAATACCATGCCAACCACACATGCCACTAATAGTCACCATGGTTCCTGTGTTTCACACTACTTACTTGACTTCATGTCCAAACTCTGATTTCCTGATCATCTGGAGGGTGTCATCAGCTGTTTGGGTGGCCTTCCCAATGTAGTCCCAGAAAGCATCAGTCAGCACTTCAAGCTGTGGCTTGGGTGCATCAGCATAAAAGATGTTGGCATTGCAGCCTGTTGGACGGACACAGAAGTAGCTTTATAAATGCAGTTCATATTAATAGCTCTTAGTTGGGTAAACCATACTGAGTGATGTAGAAAAGACACTTGAGAAAGCAAAAACAACTTACCAGACAGTACGGCAATGGCGAGTACAAGGAATACCTTCATGATTGCTGAAAGACAGTTATGAGATTGTTAGCTTTCAGACTGCATTATTGTGTCATGTGATGTATTGAAATGTAGTGTAATTCTCACCTGCTTTTGGCTTGTGCCTCTCTCAGAGTTAAGCGTGTTTGTGAATGACAGACTGGCGCTTCCATGTATATATATACTGAAGCACAGAACAGTTGTAGTCAAGAGCTCAAAGTCCAGGAGTCAAGTTCCATGTTGTCACAATGACTCTCCTCCTGACTCCTCTGCTTCCGCACTACTATCACATGAGCTAATGAGCCTCCAACGCAGGCGCACTGACACAACCTTTACAGTTTTCACAGGCAATATGGCTTTTGGAACAATAAAACCAATGTACCTGACCATGAATATTGCAATAGTTCTTGTTTGACCCCTTTTTAGAAAGCATCTAGGAAATAGTAACTGTCCACGTTGTCCAGTGGTAAAAGTGTCCTCAGATAACTCCAGATAACCTCAATATGCTTGGACTGGTGGACTTTGTGTTAGGGGCAAGCAACGTGAATAAAATATGCATAGTGAGAAGCCAAAATATCCAAAGTCATCTTGGTATCAATTTTCCTTGGTAATGCGGTTGAGGTGATTTAAGTTAGCTTTAAATCAAATTGTGGCCTTTTAAAAAATGCTTTAAACTGACAGAGGGGAATAATTGGAATAAGTAGTTTGTAATAAATGTACCAAACTGCCTCTTAAAATGCGTTGTAAATATAAAGCAAGGGATCTGTATGTTGGTATTCTTTCCCATTCCTCAAGAACAGTTTATCTGACCTTCTTCACACTTTACAGATGTAATGCTTCGGATTGTAAAGTGTCGAAGAGGGTCAAATAGGACATGTCCAATATTATAGAAAACAAACAAATGAACAGGACTCTGGGCCGGAGCAGGTCAGGAGTTCAGGGCTCTGAATACTGAGTTGATCATGTCATCATGTCTGCAGCAGGCTATTACCCACCCAGTTCAGTCACAATTGCTGCTGGGTATTCAAACATTACAACCCAACTTCTCACGTTTGCTGTTCTAACCTATTAGACTATGAACTTTGTTTTTTGACAAAGACATATGCCATCAACATGGATACGGGAATGTGTTTCAAATAGGTGAAGCAGACCTTGAGACAATTGACTTAATCTAAGGGCATTTCTAAAGGCAAAATGTTCAAGCTAATTAAATCCTTGATTTACCTTACAGTATAACCGGTTATCTCAAAGCCAGTGTCTGTCTCATTTTGGAACCTGATACATACATACATTGAGAAATGCAAAAAGCCACAACTTATCATAAGGACTCAAAAAGAAGGCAGTGTCGAGGGTTAAGTTGTTTCTACGAGTTGTTCAAGCAGCAATTCTATAGACTAAGGCCGGTTTTGCATGGGCACTATACATATTTTGAATACCAAAAGAAGTAGAAGATATATACATATCAAGTTTAGCCCACTTGTATAAAAGTCTTAGAATACTATCATGGTAAAATGAGAATAATCGTTTCTATAAAATGCTACATGTTCAAGTCTAAGACATTGTGAGTTGGACACTGTCTATAGAAAAAATGGAAGAAAAAAAAATGCTGATACTATGGTTTGGCTTGTGTGAAACTGAGGCTACTTTGTCCTCCGAAAGCTGACGGTGTTGGTGTCTGCTGACCTTTGGCCAAACTGACTCATAGGACTCATAGCATGACACAGACTAGAACCACAAGCTACGGTGAAGTTGGTTGGCAACATGGCAAGCTAATAGTGACAATAAATCAACCACTGTAAATCTAATCAAAGCTGGACATCAGCTTTGTCCAGCTTTGAAGAGGGAGCTGGAAGCTAAGAAGAGGGATTTTGCCATTCCTGGCAAAGTGTTATCTCTGGCGATGCAGAGCTAGCATAAAAGTGATTACAGACATACCTTTGAGGACAGGAGGGCTTTTGAGGACAAGGTCCATTTAAGGTTACACTTGAGGATTTAGTCACACTCTAACACAGAGGAATCACACATAATTAGGCAAAATAAATATAAAAAGGCACATAACTAAATCAATACTGTTTGGTAGATGATAACTGACATATGAAACTGTTTAAAATAAATGATTTGCTTGGTGTGTCTGTGCATTGGTGCAACAATATGGAGTTGTGCATGATTGTTGCGTGGTGTCTGGTACTGGGTGTCTGTGAGGATAGCAGGGTGAGGCAAGGTGACAGCAAGACACTAGACCCTGGACTTTAGGATCATTAGAGTCCGGCTTGCTTTATAAGCTGCAAAACCTCACCAGCTCAACACAAGCAGTGCCAAGTGGATTTGCAGATACAACAGCAAACTCAGGTGAGAGGATGAAGGATTGGCTCGGAGTAGCTTCTGTATTTTTTCTTTTAAAACTAAACTTAGTGAATGTTTTACTAACTATCTTTGTATCTCGTTATTAAGATATAAGAGCCATGAAGGTCCTTGTTGTGCTCGCCCTTGCCGTTTTCACTGGTGAGTATGGTGGAAAAATATCCCTATTTGTTTTGGAGCGTGACATCAACTGATACACTCAAGTCAAAAGACTTCAAGGACAAATATAGAATTGCAATGAGATTATTGGACCACTCAAATCACTTTTAAATAACACCCAGAAATTCCTTGGATGTGAAATTAACCGATTCACACACACATTAATACACTGGTGTGTACTGATATGGAACCTTGTATGGGAGACCATATAAGGAGCCAGACTGCTCATCATCTAACCTAATGCTCATTCCCACGCACTCACACATGCCTCTGGGATTTGGAAGTTAAGTATAGTGCCACTTTACCTCCTTCGGCATATTTTTTGGGTTAAAATACCTGAAAACACTCTGAAATATTTTGAACCTTCCAACTGTTCTTCAAAATGTTTTTTCTGTCTGTTCAACAGGCTGCAATGCCAACATCTTCTATGCTGATGCACCCAAGCCCCAGATGGAGTTGATGACTGAGGCCTTCTGGGACTATGTCGCCAAGGCAACAGAGACAGCTGATGACACCCTCCAGGTGATCAAGAAATCACCGTTTGGCCAGGGTGTCAAGTAAGTCTAGACAAGACCATTGTTACCATTGTCGACATTCTAATGATGCAAACAAAAAAAAGTATACTGCAAACTGATATGGAATTTCTCCTCACTGAATTCTAATTAAAGGTAACATCCCATTGTTCTCGCTCCTTTCTAGTGCCCGTCTGGAAGAAACTATGTTTGTGGCTGCCCATTATTCCGTCGCCGTGCAGGAGCAGCTTCCCCCTGCAGCTAAGGACATGATCAGAAAAGTCACCACAGAGACCGAAGAGCTGATGGGGCGTGTGGAAAGGGAGCTGGCCGCTGCCCAGGACGTCCTGAAGCCCTACACCGACAACATGAAGGTCCAGATCCAGCAGAGAGTGGAGCAGCTCAAACAGGAGCTGGCCCCCTATGCTGAGTCCCTTGACACCGAGGCCCTGAGAGCCACCCTGGAGCAGAAGAGCGAGGAGCTGAAGCAGAGTGTGAAGGACCTGCAGGCTCAGCTCGGACCCTACACCGATGACCTGAAGCTGAAGGTGGACCAGCACCTGCAGGACTTCCAGGAGCGTGTGGCCCCCGTGACCGAGAAGGCCCAGGTGGAGCTGATTCAGAGAGCCAATCAGGTTCAAGAAATGGCCGCCCCATACGTTGAGGATCTGAGAGTAAAGCTGAACCCCTACGCCGAAGACCTCCGGGCCCGCCTCACCTCCCTCTACGAGGCCTACGCCAAATCAACATAAGTCAACCTCCCCCTCACCTTAAAGGGAAAGTAACTGCTTCAACAGAAACACAATAATCTGACCCCGGGACACAAAACGACAACACAAGCTAACCAGTTATAAATGTTTTAAGACAATAATGACTTGGGGGTTAATGACTGTGTTAGTAAATTAATGAAAAGGGAACATACCTTGGTAGATTCTGAAAATCAGAAAAACAGATGTTTTTTCTGCATTGTGAAATCAGACTGGAAAGTGGACATGAAAAACTAAAAAGACAAATTGAAGCAGCAAACACATTATGAGCTGCACTGAAGCTCATGAGTTTACTGTGCATCACCTATAATCACTCGTGAAAGCAAGACAGGTGAAAACATTTGGTAACTAAAGTGTACTGAAGAAATGTTGTGTAATATGCATTCTTAAGTAAGAAACTAATGATTGTATTTATAAAAAAAAGAATCTACAGTTATATATTTGTCACACATCATTCTGAATAATTTATGAATGTATGAAAAGAAAGTTATTTTTAAAAGAAGAACATACTAAAGGAGACTGGCATGTTTTTCATAACTTAGTCACTCTGTATCTCCTTTCCACAAGTGAAACCAACACGTACTCAACACGTTGGATCGAGAATGTATAAATAAACAAGTTGTACAAATATTAAGTTGTGTTTACTACAGAGGGCTACAATGGGTTTTGTCTGGGACTTAATTAGCAAGGTTTAGAGGTTCTGTATTGTTTTTCAAAGTCTTGACGGAGCCAGGATAGTTCTTATCCCTGATTTCAGACTTTGTACTGTAGCATCATTTTAAAACCCATGCATGATGAGAGTGGTATTAATCTTCCTATTTATATATATGCAAGAGTGCTAACCAACGTACTTCTAAACATGTGCAGCTAATCCTTAGATTAGATGTAATTTAGGCATTATCAACTTTCTGCACAGCTTAAACCCCTTCAACAGGCTTTTGACATTTAACCTTAAAATATACGATACCCTTTTACCCAGAGCTTGGTAAAGGGGGATGTGACACTCGGCTGTTTTTGTTGATGGACATGCATAAACTATAAAACCTGACTCCTTCATTATATTGAGACAGGCCTATAAACTCAGACATCTAGCTCTGTTGGCAAAACCTCATCCATCAGAACTAGGTGATGGTTGTTACGTTGCAGGAAAAACACTCCATGGTGTACTCCACTTCCCAGTTCAACAAATGTTGACCAACAGACAAACGGCAGTAACCTCGCTGACTCGTCTGAACAGATGTTTGCCTGTTAGGAGGGATGAGATCATACAAACTTAACCAAAGAAATCTTCCAGGGAACAACAACAATGGGGCAGGGGTCACTTTCATTCAAAGCATCTGAAGATGCCCTCTGTCACAGTGGCTCCTTACAGACATAAGACATGACCTCTTCCTCTGTTGTGTCAGATAGTTTACTGTATTACCTCATGCTTCGAGTTGAATCTCTGTTTCACTTCCACGTCCGTCCTCTGCCTCTTTACCCTGGAGGTTCAGCAAAGAGAGGCTCAGCATTTTGGGTTTTTGCAGCCTGTGACCTTAGTTGGTACATGTGTGTAGTTTGGTCACTGTGGCCCATCACGTCTGCAATACATAAACACAAAATATATCATTTATGTCTGTAATGGAACTGCATTTTAGTAGCTTATTTGGTTGATTGTCACACAAGATTAGACATGTTCCTAAAACAAAACAAAAAAGTGACACCTCAGCCTGTACTTGAAATTGCTTCAACTTGTTTAATCTAATGGATTACCATTGTATCAGAGAAAATAACATTTTTAACCACAACAAGACAGCTGATCTACTCATGTATGTACAGTCTCTCAATCACTCAAAACACAGTTGACCCTTTTGGGTTATCACACACTAATGTTATCATGTTCTCACACTACTTATCTGACCAGAACAACACTTCAAACTGTGTTCCTGTGTAAAGTGGATTTTCTGAGGAAAAAAGGACTTTGATTGACAAGAACCAGGCCACGTCCTAAAGGGCAAAGGGCAGTGATGAAGCTTGTTGAAGCATCATAACTAATGGCAGCTTAAACAAACGCTGATATGTCATTACTGGTAGCAATTCATATTTGTTTTGTAAAAGCACAGTGTTTATTTTAATTATAACTACCTAAAATACAAGGAAATGACAACATGTATACATTACCATTTCTGTAAATGTGACAGTGTAAGCCGAGCATTTGATGTATCAAAACCAGTGATTTACAGACAGAGGACTTCAAGACCCAAAAAAGACAATGACAGAAACTAAATACGGACGTTCTCAGGACAATACCGAAGCAATGCAGAGCAACAAGAAGCAGAAAACAAAAGTACAGTAATATATTAAATAAAGAGTCAATACCACGCCACAACATTAAAACAAATAAATACAATCAACAATGTCACCTCTGCATCAACAATGTCTACTAATTTCTACATGTAGCAAGCAATGTTTAGCAACACAACACAGCCAGGCAACATGGATTAGAGCCAGTTTTAGATAAAGTGGTAAGCTTTTACTGGGAATAGGGAAGTTGTAGTTCCATTTTCTTGATGATCATGTCATCACGTCTGCAGCAGGCTATTACCCACCCAGTTCAGTCACAATAGCTGCTGGATATACAAATATTACAACCCAACTTCACAAGTTTGCTGTTATAACCTATTACACTATGAACAAAATACTGCATCTCCCATGAAGTTTGAGTTTTGTGACAAAGAGATATGCCATCAACATTGATATGGGAATGTGTTGCAAATAGGTGCAGCAGACCTTGAGACGATTGACTTAAACTAAGTTAAATCCTTGATTTATCTTATAACCGGTTATCTCAAAGCCATTGTCTATCTCTTCTTGGAACCCGATACATACATACATTTAGAAATGCAAAAAGCCACAATTTATCATAAGGACTCAAAGAGAAGGCAGTGTCGAGGGTTAAGTTGTTTCTACGAGTTGTTCAAGCAGCAATTATATAGACTAAGGGCGGTTATGCATGGGCACTATACATATTTTGAATACCAAAAGAAGCAGAAGATATATACATATCAAGTTTAGCCCACTTGTATAAAAGTCTTAGAATACTGTCATGGCAAAATGATACCAATCGTTTCATTAAAATGTTACATTTTCAAGTCTTAGCCATTGTGAGTAGGACCTTATCCTGTCTATAGAAAAAATGGATGAAACTAAAATGTTGCATATATAGTATGCCTTGTGTGAAACTGAGGCTACTTTGTCCTCTGAAAGCTGACGGTGTTGGTGTCTGCAGACCTTTGGCCAAACTGACTCATAGGACTCATAGCATGACACAGACTAGAACCATAAGCTACCGTGACGTTGGTTGGCAACATGGCAAGCTAATGGTGACAATAAATCAACCACTGTAAATCTAATCAAAGCTGGACATCAGAGACATAAGGAGAGGGATTTTGCCATTCTTGGCAAAGCGTTATCTGTGGCGATGCAGAAATAACATAAAAGTGATTACAATAATAATAATAGAATCAATTTGTATAGCGCCTTTCAAGGGACCCAAGGCCGCTTTACATGGTGAACAAACAAACAAACAAAAGGGGCAAATAATAAAGTAAAACCTTTTAAATTAAATAAATAGCAGTAGGAGTGGAAGCAGGGGGACTGTGATGGGTTAGGGGTCAAAGGGCATGGTGAACAGGTGAGTTTTTAATGATGACTTGAAGATGTCCAGGGAAGCAGCATTACGGATCTCTGCAGGAAGTGCATTCCAGATGGTGGGGGCCACAACACTGAACGCCCGGTCGCCAACAGTTCGGAGGCGAGAGCGGGGAATGGAGAGCAGGCCCGTGTCTGAGGACCGCAGACTCAGAGAAGGGGTGTAGGGGTGGAGGAGGTCCGATAAGTACTGGGGGGCGAGGGCATGGAGAGACGTGTAGGTGAGGAGGAGGGTTTTGTACTGAATCCGGGACTTGACCGGCAGCCAGTGAAGGTGGATTAGGGTGGGGGTGATGTGTTGCCAGGGCTTGGTGCGCGTGAGAAGCCTGTCGGCAGAGTTCTGGATGTACTGGAGCCTCTCCAGGGCTTTGCTGAGAACCCCGGACTGGACTCCATTGCAATAGTCGAGGCGGGAGGTGATGAAAGCGTGTATGAGTGTATCTGCCACGGAGTCAGAGAGTGAAGGCCGGAGTCTGGAAATGTTTTTGAGGTGGTAGAAAGCAGATTTGGTGACAGATTTGATGTTGGCCTGGAAGGAGAGGGTGGTGTCCAGGATGACTCTCAGGTTGCGGACTTCAGTGGACGGAGAGATGGAGGAGACGTCAATGGAGAGGAGCAGATCTCCAACCTTCCGGATCTGCACCTTGGGAGGCACAATCATGAGCTCTGTTATATTGCTGTTTAGTTTGAGCAGGTTTGATGACATTCAGTTTTTTATGTCTGGAGGCAATTGACAAGGGATTGAAGGGGGAGCTGAGTCGACGGTTTGGTGCAGAGATAGAGCTGTGTGTCATCGGCGCATGAGTGAAAGCTGCGTGGTGCCTGGCACTGGGTGTCTGTGAGGATAGCAGGGTGAGGCAAGGTGACAGCAAGACACTCGCCCCTGGACTTTGGGATCATTAGAGTCCGGCTTGCTT